TCGCAAATGACTCGACGGCACATAATGACAACAACAACAACAACAAGTGTATACACAGAAAAAATTAAAGGGGAGTCTGGCAGAATATAGAGGGCCTACCTAAGAAGTGAAAAATAACAAGAGTGAATTAGGGATATGTTAATTAGATGATAATGGGTTGAAGGTAAAATTGACAGGAGATGGTAATGATTGTGGATAAACACTGAAGTTGTTCTATTTGCTAACAAAGAGGACCATCAAAAAGGAAGATCCTCAGGAGATGGGTTGACACACTGGCTTCAACAATGGGCTTAAACATAGGAGAGATCATGAAGATAATGCAACATTGGGAATATTTTCATTCTATGTGTACATAGTGTTCAATGAATTAGAAAAGATGACATCTAATAACAAAGTTTGTCATTAAACTGAAAGAAACTCTGTACTCTAGTGCAATTCTCTATTCTAAGAATGATGTACTCTGGACAAGTGGAATATCTGGTATGAGTCCCTGTGGTGTGTGTTTGTTTGGTTTAATAGTAATTCTTCTCTGAAACTGTGTTAAGGGAAAAAATAACAACTTTTTTTTTCTTCCTGAGGATGGGAAATTAGACTATTTGGTAGCCTCCACTGGTACCACAATGGGAAGAAATGTTTCATTAATAGTTAAATTATCATTACAACTTTTGGATCCCTATTAGGGGCAAAAATTGTGGTTTCCCATTTGGCTTCTTATGACAGAATCCAGCTAGAGAGCAGAAAGGGTGCCTTCATCTCTAGGAACTGTGGATATCTATGTTCTCCACTTAAGATGTTGCTGATAGGGAAAGGAAAGTATGGGGCTTTCCTCAGAATTTTGTTAGAATACAATAGTATCGAAAAGTTTCTGTCAGAGAGAGTGCAGTCATCAGGGGAAATTTGTCTCTGGATATACTGCACACTAGCACCACTGAGGACAATTACAAATTTTATAAAAGGCAGGCCATAGGCAGGAAATAGTGCCAACAGGCTCAGGCAATGGAAGAACTGAGAGGTGGCTGCATAGAAATACTTGGCCATGTCCCCTTCCTCCTACCCAAGAAAGAGTGCATCACTCAGGGGGAAACTAGTCTTCATACATACTGCAGACCACCAAGGACAATTAAAAACTGTAGAAGAGGTGGGCAGCACTCAGGTGAGATTTTTTCCGGGCTGGAACAGACTAGAGAGAAGTTGAAGGTGTTTAGGAGAGGTGATCTTCCCACTGCACAAAATCAGGAAAGCCTCTTAGTATAGCAAGTTGCTCTGCCCCATAAAAGAAACACTTTAAGTGTGCAAATAACCAAAGAACTATCAACAACCTATACAGCAATAGAAAAAGTATAACACATACGAAGAAAAATTTCATACAATGCCAAGAAAGCAACAGGCAGCTTCAAACATTATTAAAAAACAAAGTAAGCCTTCTCCTAAAAAAGCAGAGCAAATTGTAGACAAACTCTACAGGAAATTCTAAGGGAAGGGAGCCAGTCACACAGAGACACAAAGAAAAGTGGGTGGACCATAGTAACCAGAAACAACAGAAAAAGAAACAGAAAAATGGCAATGATAAAACCTGACCTGTAATAATAATTACAGGTAATGCCATTTAATGTGACTGGCTTAAATTAAGAGAAAAAGAGTAGCAGAATGTATAAAAATCCAAAGCCCACCACTATGTTTGTTTATAATAGAAACATATAAGAAACAAAGGAGAAGACTAAAAATCAAAGGGTGGCTAAAATATACCAAGCACATGGTGTTGCAAAAAAGCAGGAGTGGCAATACTAACCTCTGATAAAACAGATTTCAGGATTAAAACCACTATAAAAGATTAGGATGTGTACTATACAATGGTTAAAGGTTAAATGGTTATTGTCAAAAAGACATTACCTTAGTCAACATCTATGCACTGAAGTATATTGTTCTTATGTACCATTAAGTTAACTGCAACTCATAGTGACCCTTCAGTAGATATTAAAAATGTACTGAATACATATTGACTTTGCCATTGATTTTTATTTTAACACATGGCTAGGTAGAACTATACAAATGTGACATGTCTGTAGTCAACCAAGGGCATTCTGTAAATACTATAAAAATTTTTTTAAAAAAAGGAAAAAAGAATACAAATAAAAGTAAATAACATATTTTGGATGGAAATATGCAAATAAGGTGAATGGCCACAAAAGTGGCAATCGGTCAATTTTGTCACTTGATATTTACATCGAGCAGGTTCAGAGGCAGAAAAGGGGAATATCACTAAATTAAGAAAAAGAAGCACAGTGCACTCTATCCTTTGAGCTAGAAATTCCTGATTGAGATGAAGCAAGACCAAGACACAACAGCAGTAACAGCAGCATCAGCAGCACCAAAGGTTGTGTAGAATAGAGACCAAGGTGAAATAGAGCTGAACTACATCTGCTTCCCCACAGAGTTAGTGCTAAGAGTTAGCACCTAGGCTTACTTATGGAGTAGAAATAGACTGAAATAAAATAGCTTTGTTGAACTTGCCCAAGTGAAGAGTAGGGCCCAGGAGCTGGGAAGCCTACATGGTAGCACCCCTGAAAGGAGGCTGTCTTGATTGAAGAATTATATCCTAAATGTTTCCAATCTGATTGTAGCCTACTACTTTCTTAATAAACTCCATAATTTTAAGTATCATCTGTGTGGCCACTACAAGAAATTAACAAACTAGTGAGTAGTGAGAGAGTCATGGGGGTAACAGCTGGTGTTAGAATTGCTGTAGGAAGGTATAGTACATATCTGGCCTCATTGGAATTGACGTTGTGCTATTGATGTTCTGACAGGGTATCTTCCTTCAAAAAGACAAGAGTCTGCCACTCCTACTCCAACAGTACTGTTTTTACATCATAGACTACTTAGCACTTCGGTAAACAAGTTGTTGCTGAGTATCAAGCTGGAAATGACTCATAGCTGACCCACCAGTGAGTTTTCAGAGACAATAAATTGCACAGGAGGAAATTGTCCATCTTTGTCCTGTGGAGCAGCTGGTGGATTAGAACTGTATACTTTTGGGTTGGCAACATAATTCCTTACCACTAATCTACCTGAGCATCCTTCAGTGAATGGAGTGTTCAAAAAATTGTGTTTTTTTATACCATGAAGAACAGACTTATTTCCCAGATAGTAAGTAAGGACCTAACTTTTAGGAGCTTGTCAGCACCTCCTAACATAAAAGAAATCATGTTAGAGATTTCAAGGTAAATCCCATCATTCATCTTCAGAGCTAGAAGATAATTTCTGAGTTGTTTCTAGTCTTCTCAATTAAAAAAAGTTTTTACTAAAATACAAGATTGCTTAATTCAAGAAGACTCATTTGTATTACCAAAAAACATAAAAGAGGGCCTGATGGTACAGTGATTAAATGTTCAACTGCTAATAGAAAGGGCAGTAGTTTAAACCAATCAGCTGCTCCATGGGAGAAAGATTCCATACTCTGCTCCCTTGGAGACCAAAGCTTCAGAAACTCTATGAGACATTTCTACTCTACAGGGTAGCTATTATATATTATGGCTGTTTCTATATGCCCACTGTTCACTCAGAGAACTGTGGGATCTTGTATAGAAGGAACCTTATCTCATCATGGCTGCATCTCGAGACCTAGTGTGCAACAGATAATCAACAAAAGTTCCTAAATGAATATTGAAATAATACATCACAGGGATATCAAATCCTTGGTTTTATTTTATTTTAAAAAATTCAAGGAGTAGGAAAAGCCCTAGAGTCTTATTTACCTGAAATGCCTGGAAAAAATAAAAAATATTTCTTTGGAATTGCTGTATACTCACTCTGCTCAAAGGGTGGTGTTCACATGATCAATATCCAGAGGTTCTGTAACATATGTTCCAGTTCCCATGGCCCAAGGTCCTGATGCTTATCATTTTCCAAATTCTTTTTTTAAAATTCATTTTAATAAAAGTTTACAGAGACTTTGGATTTTCATTCATTCATTGTTGCACTTTTCTCCCTGTCTAACCTCTCCCCTACCCCGTTCATTCCCCTCCCCCAAGTCCACTCCACTATGCAGCCTTTGTTTTGAAAAGTAAAAGAAAAATTCTTTAATCTCATCAAAAAATAGAAACCCTTTTAATAGAGACTTGGTGGGGACTTGTTAGATGAAGTAGGGGTACCGTCTAGTTACCTGGCAGGCATCATAAGTTTTATTCTTATATCCAGCACACAACATGTTTTGGGTAAGTTTGTTAAACATCCTCGAACAGTCTTCCCAATCTATTATAATCATTGGCACTTTCATCAGGTCAGTTGTCACAGAGTTTTTGTCACCTGGTCAATAAAGAAAGTGCATTAGAAAAGCAGTAGGCTCCTCCTTCCTTCCCCCTACTACTTCCAAAACCAAACCAAAACTCTACTGTTGTCTCGTGTAATCCCTTTGGGCTCTGCAGGTCCCAGATTGGTAGTATATCTGACTATCTCCTAAACACTCTTATACACTACTACAGTCTACTTGTCACCTTGTTCTCCTTTCAGGTTTCTTTTGTCTTCACAACCCCTTACTCTTTCTTGCGTGCAGGGTACCCACTTCCTGTCACTCTTGTTGTGTACCACCAAGTCAGAATCAACCCATATCTGACCCTCTAGTAGATTTTCAGATGCAATTTAATCACACAGGGTAGAGATTGCCCATCTTTTTCCCTGTGAAAGAGCTGGTGGATTTGAACTGAGTGCCTTGGGGACTGCAGCACGGCTTCTTACCACTAGACCATGAGAGCTCCGTAGAATTCTCTGTTAGTAAACTTATCCAAACAACTCCCCCATTTGCCTGAGTTACCCTTCTTATTCGAAATCTTATTCCTACTTCTAAGACAATTTGGAAATGGACTCTACCCAGTATTATTGACTTGACTTTTCCTTATCATTTCAAAGAATAATCTGCATTACACACATATTCGTCTAGGAAGCTCTGGTTGACAGCTTAGTTTGTAGGCAGTTGTACTGCTACCCTAAAGGTTATACTTCTCTGCTGGTTCAAATCCCCTAGCAGCTCTATAGGAGAAAGAAAGGCAATCATCTGTGTGATTTACAGCCTTTAAAAACTCACTGGAGGGTCAGCTATGAGTTGATTCTGACTCAATGGCAATGAGTTTGAAAGTTTTTTGATGTTATTATGTGAGTATAACACTTTCCACATTTAAAGTTAGGTTTTAAAATTTTGAACGCGGGGGGAAAAGGAGGGTGAGTGAAAAAGAACAGTTCAGGATCCCCAATAGAGTTTTTTGGAGGGAATTTGTCCTTTCTGATCTGCCAGGCCTCGGGAATTTGTACAGGTTTTGTTCCACCTTATTTGGAACAAATTATTATTATTATTAAATATTTTCACTCTTTCAGACACCTTATCTGCCCACTTTCTTCTTTTAAATTTGGTCCATAAGGCAGAATCAATGTTCCACCAAGAGACACTTGTTATCTTGGTGATTCTAACTTGTTATGAAACATCCCTATGGCTCTAGAGTCATGCTCAGGCTTGAACGACTGCTATGCCAAGCCCATATCCCCTCCCTAATCTACTTGCTTGCTGTAGGTTTTGTCAGATTTTCTTTGGGGATGGTCAAGATTAGGCTTCATCCTATCTTTCTATCCTGAAATACTTTTTTCTACTTTGGTCATGGAACGGTAAGCAACAAGTAACAACAGATTCATTTCTAAGAAATGAATTCCAGGATTGTCAAAAGCCTAGACCTGTAAGAGTTAGGTATAAAATATCAGTGTGAATGAAAGTCAAGAGGGGTGTCAGAGAACAAAAATTAAGAAAGGACCTTTGGCAATCTGGAGTGTGTGAACTGCCAACAGATATTGAAATTAAGTTATACAAACAAAACTATTCTGAACTTATTAAGTAAAAGCACATTTGGGGACTGGATCTAACCTAGATTTTTATGAACCTCTGCCTTCAGGAATTTGATACAAATGCAAAGTCTTTTCCCCCTCCTTTCCTAAGGTCTTTCTCTTTTTCATCTCCCTCCCCCATCTCTTTCAGATATAATGGCCCATCCTCAGCCACCCATCATAAAATTTTCCCCCAAAAGCTTTCAGCAAATGCTAAGGAGACACATACCAGCTCTAGTCCTTCCCCATCCTGCCACCCAACATATATGCCAGGTAGAGGGAATGGGTTGCCTTGGCAAGCAGATGGGTAGTATCTGGTCACTGAAGCTAATGGGTGAGTCTACCAGGAGTAAGGCGACATCATTGTCCATGTTGAGCTTATTATAATCCTTGTGGAGAATTATTTTGCTTATCTCCTTGATGTCATTGTGTGGATTGGTTAAGTCAGTGGTTCCTATCACAATATTTAGTATCCTTGGGCTGATGGGATAGAAGCAAAAGAGAATGATAAGAAAAGGAGAGTCACAAAGAATTTTTGTTCCAGACAAAACCCTAAATACCACATAAGTTCCAGAGCCTTTGGGGTTTATAATAGTGTGGCTGTAACTCAGAGGATGTGAGAATTTGAGAGAGTTTGAGGTGGGCATAATAGGTGGTGCAGCAAACCAATATTACAAATCTGTTTCATTATAAGTCCCAAAGCTGTGGATGAAATAACTCTAATAAATAATGCTAACTTTAGTCAAGAAAGCTTGAAGGGTCTGTGAAGGGTCCACAAAAGACCACTTGGTGCAGTTTAGACCAGTTTCCAAATACGAGTTATTAAATTTCTTTTATATCAGTTGATTACAATTTAGTGAGCCAAAAGCAGAATTTAACCTAGGCCTATCACTGATTTAAGCAAAAAGAATCTTCAGTAATAAGTCATCATCCAAGTTCCATCTCCAGGCAAAACAATCTGGAACTTTCCAATAGTCAATTCTTAAATATACTATGGGAGGAGATCATACAATGTTCCTTGGCTATTCTATGATAAAACTGTTTTTGTTTTTTTTTAGATGTTTGGATAAACAGTTTGAAGTCAGTTTCTGGGTATCTTCAAGCATTCTTAAGGTAGTACAGTGGAAAACAAAAGCTCTGAAGTCAGAATTTAAGTCCTTTCTCTACCTTATTGCTATTATTATGTGCTGTCGAGTCAACTATGATTCCTAGCAACCCTATCAACAATAGCCCTGAAACCTGCTTTATCCGGAGTCAATACTCCTGCCTCTGAACACCTACCCTCAATACCCCAGTTACTGTGTCAATGTGCCTCATACAGTCTTCCTCTCTTGTGCTGTTCCTCCACCCTCCCAAGCATAACGTCCTTCTCCAAGGACTGGTCCCTGCTGGCTACATGGCCAAAGTTTATGAGGTGGAGCCTCAAAATCTTTGTCTCCAAGGAGCAGCCTTATTTTACCCTCTCCAAAACAGACCTGTTAGTTCTCTTGGCAGTCCATGATATGTTCAATACTCTTCTCTAGCATCACAACCAAAGCATCAATTCTTCTTCTGTAATTATTATTAATTGTCCAGCTCTCTGATGCATAGCAAGTAATTGTGAAGACCACTGCTTGGGTCAGGCAGACTTTAGTCTCCAGACTAACACCCTGATCCTTGCTCTTCAGCACTCTGGAAAGGTCTCTGACAGCAGATTTTCCTAATGCTATCCGTCTTTTGATTTCCTGATGGCTGATGCCAAGAGTGTTGATTATGGAACTAAGAAAGGTGAAATTGTTAACAATCTCAATCTCTTCATCCATCATGATGCTGCCAGTTGGACCAATGGTGAGAATCTTTGTTTTCTTGATGTTGAGCTTCAATCCATATTGAAGACTGCAGTCCTTAACCCTTTGCAGCAAATACTTCAGATCCTCCTCAGTCTTGGCAAGCAAGATTGTGCCATCTAAATAACACAGATATACCAACACAGCATTGTTCTTTGGTAGTCCATGGGATATTCAACATTCTTTCCCAATACCATAATTCTAAAGTACCCTTTCTTCTTTCATCTTTATTCTTTGCTCAAATTTCAGATGACTAGGAGGAAACTGAAAATAAATATGGCTTGGATCTGGTGCAACTAAGTCTTTAAACTGACGTCTTTGCTCTTTAGCACTTTGGAGAGGTCTCTGATTGTATATATTTCCCAATGCAACATGCCTTTTGATTTCTTTGTCTTTTTTTTTAACAGTGCAGATTACATCTTTTTATTTTTCACTTTTTTAAATAAAAATTTAAT